GATTCGGGCCCTGGATGGATCCAGGAGAGATTCCCGTGGGGATTCAGGCCCTGGATGGATCCAAGACGGATTCCCACTGGGATCCGGGAGGGATTCGGGCCCTGGATGGATCCAGGAGGGATTCCTGCCGGGATCCGGGAGGGATTCCCGCCGGGAGTGCCGCAGGGGGTCGGGCTCAGTGCCCGCCCCCCCCCAATGGCGGGCCCCCACGCCCCCGCCCCACGGTGGCCCCGGGCGCCCCCACTCAGGCCCAGGCCCCGGCCCCGGCCCCGGCCGCCGCCCCTCCCCGCTCTGCCCGCGCCCCCCGCCCGGTCCCCGCTCTCACCCGCGGCCTCCGCCGCCGCACCCGGAAACGCGGCCCGGTCTCCAGCCGCGGCCAAACAAAATGGTGGCCGCCGCCCCGCAATGCGCACGCGCGGACCGGGCCGGATGCGGAGGGGCGGCCGGACCGCGGCGCCATGTTGGGAGGGTCAATGGCGCAACAATGCTGGGAAGGGCGCTGGGCCGCGGCGACCATGTTGGGAAGGTCGCACCGCGTGGAGTGTGCCTGGTTGTATGGGTGGCTTATGAGGCGAGAGAGGCACACATCGAGGATGTCTCGATTGAAGGTTGGAGGCGACACGACTGTGTACGAGCAGTGGGAAAACCACAGCTCTGGAGGAAAGCCACGGCCGTCCGCAGCGCCGCCCGCCATGTTGGGAAGGTCAGACAGAACGGTCACCCCTCCACTGGCGCAGCCATGTTGAGGAGGTCGCCGTGCACAGCGGACATATTGTGAAGGTCCTGATCCCGATCTGCTGGGCAGTAGGGGGCGGGTCCCGTCTCCCCTCACCCCCGTGACCCGCCCCCCTCCCACTTCGCTCCTCCGTGGCGTCATCCATGACGTCACACCCCCATGACATCATCCTGCAGCATGCACCCGCTCCAGGAGGGCCCCCCCCCGTGTCCCCCAGGCACACACCGGACACGGCACCGGGACAGCTCCGCTTTTATTCGCTCCTCCGGGAAGGGCCCCCGCGACCCCCCGGCTCCGCCACGCGCAGATGGGGACTGCGGTTCCCGCGGGGGAGGGAAGGACCTTTTTCCTTTTATCTTTTTTTTTTTTTTTTTGTGCTTTTTTTCCTCCTTTTTCTTAAAAAATAAATTTACAATTAAAGACAGCCATTCGGTACAAAATATATACATTCTGGGGGCGGGGGGGGGGGCAGCCAGAAGCAGCAGGGCCGAGGGACACGTAGAAAAATAGAGAGGGTGGCGGCGGGAGAAAAGGGGGGAGCCCACAGCAGGGGGCAAGACCCCCCCCATTCCCTCCCCATAGCCCCCCTGAGCCCCCCGGGGAAGGCAGTGGGGTGCAAGGGGGGGTCCCCCCAAACCCTCGTACCCCCCCCCCGGGGCAAAGTGCGTGAGTGCGGGCGGGCGGCGCTCACTGCCCGCCCGGCTCCAGCTTGTAGGAGAGCTCGAAGAGCAGGTTCTGGTTGTCGATGACCTGCAGCTGCCGCACGTAGGCCTTGGTCTGCAGCTGCGCCGGAGACGCCTCCAGCTCCAGGCCTGGGGGGGGCACCGCGTGAGGGGCCCCCCCGCGTGGCACTGCCCCCCCCGGCCCCGCGGCGCTGCCCCACTCACACAGCGGGCGGCTCCGGTACTTGCGGATCGTCCGCACTTTCTCGGCGATGCAGTGCTGGGTATGGGGGGGGGGGGTCAGCGCGGGGCCCCCGGCCGCGGGGACCCCCGTGACCCGGGTATGGGGACAGCCGCCCATGGGGACCCACAGGAGGGGGCGACGGGGGCATCCACCCTGGGACACGGATCCGGACACAGTCATGGGGACCCCCAAGTTTCCGCTCCAGGGACACCCACCCATAGGGACCCCTGGGACAGGGATCTGGATACAGTCACGGGGGTCCCCAAGTTCCAGCTGCAGGGACACCCACCCATAGGGACCCCCGGGACACGGATCCGGACACAGCCATGGGAGTCCCCAAGTTCCAGCTCCAGGGACGCCCACCCATAGGGACCCCCGGGACACGGATCCGGACACAGCCATGGGGACCCCCCAGGATCCAGCTTCAGTAACACTCACTCACAGGAACCCCTGGGACACAGATCCAGACACATCCATAGGGACCCCCAAGTTTCCGCTCCAGGGACACCCACCCATAGGGACCCCTGGGACATGGATCTGGACACAGTCATGGGGGGCCCCAAGTTCCAGTTGCAGGGAGACCCACCCATCGGGACCCCCGGGACACAGATCCGGACACAGCCATGGGGACCCCCAAGTTCCCACTCCAGGGACACTCACTCACAGGGACCCCTGGGACTACCCCCCTCAGGGGCACCTCGAGCACAGAGACCCCCACGTGTCCCCCAGACCCCAGGCATGAGGCTCCTTGGGGACCCCGCTCTGGGCTCATCGATGCCACGGCCACCTTGGGGGCATCTGCCCCACAGCGACCTTGGGGACCCTGCTCTGCACCCCTTGTGCACCCCCCAAACCTTCTCCCACAGCCAACCCTGCCCCATATCCCCCCCCAAGGCCACCAGGTCCCCCATCCCACTCAGGGGGCTGCTCCTTGCCCGGGGTCTCACCAGCTTCTCCATGTTGACCAGCCCGTCCAGGAGGGTCTTGCTGCCCTCGTGCAAGAAGGTGAGATCTGGGGGGGGGGGGTCAGAGGGGTAAGGGGGGTTGTATGTGGGGGGGGGCAGCACCCAGGTCCCCCCGACCTTCCTCACCTTTGAGGATGAGCGGCACGAAGGGGATGAGCGGCGGCTTCATCTTGGCCAGCACCTCCCGGTAGCTCTTGTGGTTCCTGCAGGGATCCTGGGGGGAGCGGCGGCTCAGGGCGGCGGGATGGGGCGGGATGGGGCCGGGGGGGCTCCCCAGGGGTGCTGGCTCCCTCTCTGCCCCCCTCTCCCCCCTCACCGTCAGGTTCTCAAACTTCCGAAACAGATTCTTGAACTTTCCCGGGAGCTTCTGAAATGCAAAAGCGCGGGGGGATCAGGAGCGTCTTGACGGCACCTGGGGCATCCCGACGGGGCCGGGAGCATCCCAAAGGGGTTAGGAGCATCCCGAGGGTGCCAGGAGCATCCCAAGGGGGCCAGGAGCATCCCGCGGGAGCCGCTCACCTCCCAGGTGAGGCGCAGGCGGCTGATGGCGGCGTTGTTGAGCCCGATGACCACGGCGTAGAAGGAGAGCATGTCCTGGTTCTGCTTGCATCTGCGGCGGGGCGGCGCCGTGAGGCCGGGGGGCTCCGGCGGGACCCCCCMCCCMMGCCCMCCCCCCCCCCCCCCCCCCGCGCCCGCTCACATGGCCGCGATCTTGATGAGCTTCTTGAGCAGATGCGCCCGCTTGCCCAGCGACTCGCAGAGCAGCAGCTCGGTGCCCACCCAGTGCTGCACCTCGCTGCAGCGCTGCAGCAGCAGCTCCAGGTTGGCCGTCTCCCGCCGGCCCCGCTCCCCGTGGAACACGTAGTCCACGAACTCCAGCTGCGGCCGGCGGCACCGTGAGGGCCCCGCGGTGGCGCCGGGGACGCGGGGGGACACGGGGGACGCCACGCACCTCGTGGATGCAGCGGAAGAGCTCCCAGTGGAAGGCGGTGAGGTGCTTGGCCACCTCCTCGGGCTCGGCGCGGTGGATCTCCGTGTCCCCCGGCGCCACCGGCATCTCCTCGGGCAGCGGCACCTGGGGGGGCGGCGGGCGGGAGCGGGTGGCGGGCGACGCCGGGGGGGGCGCCCGGGGCCGCCCGCGGGGCCTCACCAGCGACTCCAGCGTGTCCCGCGTGCAGGCGAAGAGGTGGCTGTTGATGCCCAGCGCGGTGAAGACGCACTCCTCGCTGGGCTGCAGCACGGCCTTCTCTGCGGGCGCCGCGCGGGCGTCAGCGCCGGGCAGCGCCCCCATCCCCCCCGCATGGCCCCCCCTCACCTCCGGACGAGGCCACGGTGACGAGGAGGAGGCCGTCGTGGCGGGCGCCGCGCTCCTCCGAGTACTGCAGCTTCTCGCTGACGGCGGCCAGGATGTCGTGCACCGAGGCCGAGAGGCGGCTGCGGATGGTGACGTACGAGTGGTCGGGCATGTAGACGCGGCAGAAGACTGCGGGGGGGTGCGGGGGGAGGCCGGGGGTGAGCGCGGCCCCCCCGGCGCCCCCGGCCCCCCCGGGTCCCCCCCCGGCGCTCACTCTCGTCGGAGCCGCGGAAGGCGACGCGCGTCTGCAGGCAGGAGTCGATGCGGCGGAAGTGCCTGAACAGCGGCTTGACCGGCCTGCCGGGGGGGGGCGTCTCCTCGGCCGCCCTGCGGCACCGCCACGGCTCAGGGACCCCCCCCAGGCGATGGGGTGCCCCCCCCACCCGCGTCCGGCCCTGCTGTGGGTGCCCTATGGATGGGCAGGGGGATCTTCCAGGGTCCTGCGTGGTAGCGAGGGGCTAGCGAGGACACCCCCCCACACCAGCTCCCAGGCATCTCCATGTCCTGCACCCACCCATGGGGACCCTCTGCACCCATAGGGACTCACTGCATCCATGGGGACCTCCTGCACCCACTGTAGCCCCCTGTACCCATGGGGGCTTTCTGGCACCCATAGAGAACGCCCAGCGCTCATGGGGATCCACTGCACCCATTGCAGCCCCTTGGAAGAACAGGGACCTCCCAGCACCCACAGGGACCCGCAGCACCCATGGGGACCCCCAGCACCCACGTTCCACCCCTGCCAGCGCCCCTCTCACTTCAGCTCCACGGCCTCCACGAGCTGGTGCAGCCTGAGGACCTCGTCCTCCAGCTCGCGGTACAGGGACGCGTCCTTCATGATGAGCAGATAGAGCTCCTGGGGGCAGCGAGAGGGGCTCAGGAGGGCACGGGGGGGTCTGGGCAGGGCCGGGGGGTGCCCGGCGCGCACCCACCTTGACCACCCTGCCGGCGCTCGCCTCCTCCTGCAGCAGCCCCTTGTAGGTGTCGAGGAAGTGGAGCAGGACGGCGAGCACCGCGCGCTTGCGCCGCAGCCCCGCGGGCTCCTCCGGGGCCAGCGACGGCCCCGCCGCCGCCACGAAGGTGACACCGTCAAGGAGCAACCGCAGGCAGGGACCTGCAAACCCCTCATGCCACCCTGGGGCCACCCTCATGCCCACCGTCCTGCACCCTCACACACAGCTCCATGATCTCCCTTGTGCCCCCTCGTTTCCAACCTCGTGCCCTTCTTGTGCACAACTTTTTATCCTCCTCGTGGCCGCTTTGTGCCCAGCCTGGTTCCCTCCTCGTGCCCGCCTTCACACGCAGCATTGTGCCCCCCTTCATGTCCAACCTCACACTCTTCTTGCGCACAACCTTGTGTCTTCCTCAAGCCCAACCTTGTGCCCACTCTGGTGCCCTCCGTGCATTCACCCCATGCCACTTTTGTGCCCACCCTCATGCTCATCCTGGTGACCTCCTTTGGCCCTCCTCGTGGTCACCCTCACCCCTCCCTCACGCCCACCCCATAGACTAGAGTGGCCCCCAATACCCTCCTCATGCCTCCCCAGTGACAGCTCTGCACCCACCTCGGTGGCAGCTCTGCACCCACCCTGGTGCCCGCGTCCTCCTCACTCTGGTGCCACCCTGGTGCCCGTCACCCTCCCAGCACCCCGGTGCCCACCCTGGCTCCCACTGGTGCCCTGCAGCCGAGGATATTGCTGCTGCAGCTGCTGCAGGAAGCGCTCGGTGGGGAGGAAGAGCGAGTGCGTGAGCACGATGTCGTCCAGCAGCGAGTCTGGGGGGGACAACGTTGGGGTG